ACCAGGGAGCTCACGCTAACCCACGGCTTGGCCTAATCACACTGAATTATGTTCTGCTTCAGGACATTCGCTGGCCTAGTTTTAATTACCCACGGTAGCGCAGTCTTGCCATGCTTGAGATGGAGACATCACCCCTGCTCAAGGGCAAGGAGGGGAACATGTCCTAGGGACACTCAGGGACAGCTATAAGGTCAAGGGAGAGAAAAGATGGGGGAATAATTTAAATTTTTACATTAATCAAGACAAAGAGCTTTTAATTGTTTAGCCCTGCCAGTAAAAATGCAGCAAATCGATGCCGTGACTTCTGAAACAGGAGCTTGGGAAGATCATTGCCTCTTAGGGCTGAATTAATCCCGCTTGCCTTAGGAGCCTGCTATGGTGCCACTTGACCGCAGGATGCGGTCCGTGATCCGTAGGTCCCCATGCCATGCCCTGGAGAGCAGGACTGGGGGGCTTGGCTGTAACCCCAAGGTCACAGGGAGGGACTTGGCTTGTTCCCTGTGGGCCACAAGGCTCGGTGATGGGTCCCCAGAGTGATGGGGCCCTGGTGGTGGATCTCAAGTGGTAGGTCCTTAGTGATGGGTCCCAGGTGATGGGTCCCCAAGGGATGGGTAAATGGGGACCTCTTTGGCCTAACTTATCTTCCCCACCACGAGCCCACGACGTGCAGCTGAACGCAAACCCCTCTGCACTCAGCTTCGTTATTCCTCCCAAAGGCTGAGCTGCTGATGGGGCACAGACCTGACATCTCACGCCAGCTTCCCTCAGGTCCTCACGTCCAGGCTCCTGAGGACGTGGCCCTGGTGTGGCTCAGGGCACTCATCAGGTGGCATCAGGGCCAGCTGATTCCCCAGTGACACTGACTGCATCTGGGCATGGTGGGGGACAGCATGAACCTGGAATTAAATGACTTGGTCCAGTTGTTTTTATTAAGGCTCAATCAATAGAAAGAAAACACAATATACTTCTCTCCATCCAGGAGTATCTGTTCCATAAAAGCCAGCCACGTGCAGAAAGCTGATTTTAACCTTTTCTCCCCATTATTCCCCGGCCCAGCGATGCAGCCCTGGCTGCGCTGCGGGAGCGCACGGTTTGGGAGGCGCACCGAGAATTAGTCACTTGCCAGGGCCCAGGGTGCAGCCCTGCGAAGCGGCTGCTTGAGAACAGCCCAGCTGCAAACAAACACCACTATTTGCGTTTAATTAGGGGAGCTGCCGAGAGAGGCTGGTGCAGCGCAGCACGGGATGTGGGACTCCCACGTCACACGTGGTCACGGGGCTGGAGGTGGCCATGGCACAATGAACATCACACGGTGGCCAAGGGGATTTTTTTTTTTTCCCCTTTCTGGAAGGAAGAGAGTGAAACCAAGTACCTTTGCTGTTGGTTGTCCATTGAAGCGTGCATCTCTGGTTAAAACGTATTTGCCATCCATCGTATTCCACCCCCTCCATTCGCAGCTCTCCTGGGCTGCCATGGTTACCTCTGCAGGACTGACCCAGCCCAAAGAAATGCTATTTATTTTTCTTCCTCTGTGTAGAATGAACAAGCACTTACTTTTGCAAGTTTAATTAAGATTTTTCATTAAAGAATTCGCCCCCCTAGTATGTTTATTTTTCCAGCAGGCACAACCTTTCTGTTTACAAGAAATGAATCAGTTTTCAGATGCTGGACTGGAGCAGTAAGAAGTTTTCCTGCCCAAAATGTCAAGAAGAAAAATGTAAAAACTTTTTAAATTGATTTTTTTTTTCCCCCAGGAGGGTGGAAAAGCCTCTGGAAAGCCATTAGCTACCAGATGACCTGATAAAATATCAGCATGGCTGTTACTGGTCAGAGCTTTGCACCTCAAATAAGGATTTTGGTGCGACAGCTCAATTGCATCAGTTGCCTTTCAGTAGTGAACCAAGCTAAAAACTAACTGGTGAGCTTGAGTACATTTCTAATCCCGTTAATGAGCACAGCAGCCCACTCCCAGTTCCCGAATTACCTTCAAACCACTGTGCTCTTCACACGACTTCTGCCGCAGCAGCTTTCAGCTGTAAGTCTTAAGGCAGCCTGCAAAGGAGGATGGTACGATTTCTATTTCACATAAGGGGAAAGTGAGGCACTAAGCCAGGAACATGTCCAAAAGCATCCATTAGCGGCAGGACTAGACTGGAGCTCTCTAGTTCTCTTCTCTCAAGTTAGGCAGCACTGAGAGATTTCCACGGCAAGCTCAGAGCATCAGGATTTATTTGGCCCAATTATACACTAGTCACTCCTGTGGAGTAGCTATTGTGGCCGATACAGGCTGTCTCACTCTTCACATTTAAATATTTCCTTAATACCTTCAGATCAGTGAAGCCTCTCCGTCTAATCTGACTTTCTGTATAACGAGGCCGTGCTGGATGAGTACATTAGGAGGTTATTCTCCCCTGATATGGAAGGCTGGTTGAACTGCGTAACTTCAGCAAAGACAGCAAATCTCTCTCGCTTTCCTGCCCTCAGACACCTGCAGAGTCGGAGAAACACAGAGCTCGATCTAATCTTTCATGTCAGTGAATCTGTAGCCCTGTTACTGCAGGGCTCCATCATATAACCACAGAAATGTCACAGAAATGTCCCCATGTGTCTCAGCACCCGGCTAGTTCAACTCTTTGGTTCTGGCTCAAGGGAATCCTCTTGACTACAGGTAGCTACAGCTTGGCTCTACCCCAGCCGAGGTCTTCTTGACTCTTTGTAGCTGGGTTTTAATCCTTCTCGCTCTTGGGTCATAGGAACGGAGCACTCAGAGCCCGTTTACCACCACGGAGTTGCAGCTCTGCTCAACCATACCCACGTGGCCTCCAACAGCAGTTTGGCAAGGGGAAAAGTCACGGGCCGGAGCCCATGCTGACCCAAAAGCTTGGTGGAGCCAAACTGGGAAGCTCAGCCGTGGTTCAGAAGCACAGCATCACACAGAATCGTAGAATCATAAAGGTTGGAAAAGACCTCTAAGATCATCGAGTCCAACCGTTAACCCAACACCACCATGCCCACTAAACCATGTCCCTAAGCGCCTCATCTACACGGCTTTTAAATACCTCCAGGGATGGTGACTCCACCACTTCCCTGGGCAGCCTGTTCCAAGGCCTGACCACTCTTTCAGTAAAGAAATTGTTCCTAATGTCCAATCTAAACCTCCCCTGGAGCAACTTGAGGCCATTTCCTCTCGTCTCAGCTGCAATGAGGGGACAGCGTTGTGGTTCATAAGCAGCCATGAAGTGCTAATTACTGAATTTGCTTCCCCTTTCCCAAAAGGCATCAGGAAAAACAGAGGAGGAATTTCAGGCTTGGGGTGTGCTTCCACTGTACCAGCAAACTGATTTTCCCTTGTTTTTTGCCCCAAAATAAGCTCTTCATGGTGAATTGTTACACCTTCCGATCGCTCCCCTCTGAGTCCTCCGTGGCGGCACGCTGTCTCGGATTTCCTAACACTCAGTTGCTCGAGCACGGCCCTCACCAAGCAGAAACTGCTGCTGTCATGGTCTGCCCACCGGCACGCCGCTGGGCTGCCCGTGCTCAGCCAAGGTGGACGCAACAAGCACTAACGCACAGCTTCTTAAAGCAAGAAGTCCCTTGTAATTATAAATGCAAATGAGTATATTCACAAAATGAAGGCTCAGGAACATTGTTGAAATGTTGGAATGGCCTAGGTAATAAGGAGAAAGACGGTCTCAAGGACTCGTACATTACAAGGCCCACTCTTCCCCTCCCTCCCCCTGCCTCCTCGGCTCCGCTGAGTTTATCACATGGCCTCTGTGTATTAAGAATAATCTTTTTGGAGATTTAATTACAAGGTGAAATATGTCCAATTCTATTGTTCCATTTTCGAGTGATGATAAAGCAGCCAAACTACTGCAAATGTTGTAAACTCTTATAAGGATTAATGCTACCGCAACAAGTTTTTTATCACATTAATGATACTATTTCTCACACACCCATGACATACACACAAAGCAAAGGTATGGATGCTGGAGTCTGCACATCCAATCGAACAGAAATCCTTAATGTGTACGAAATGTGACGTGGAAACTGCAATAGCAAATAGTTTTCATTACAGAGCTGTTCTTCCACTGCCTTAATCTCCGCAAAGCTATAAACTGAAGGAGTAGTTATATTTCACAAATGTGTATACACACGCACTGGCGGATGTGGAATAGGCATGCAGATGCTTTTATAAACCACAGAATGTGCTTCCTCCTTGGCAGTCTTACTATGCTTTTTATTTTTAACACCAAATAAATACAAAACAATCCAATAAAAACCAAACAGCAGTAAATCTGAGAAATCGGTCGCTTTTAAAAGCAATACTATTAACTAAGTTTAGGCCCCACATATGTGATTTTGGGAGTGAAAAACCTCCCCAGGTCTGCAGTACAGATGGCTTTGTATAAATGACTCAGTATTTCAACCAGGATTTGGGACTGTGGGCGCTGAAAGGACAGGTTTTTGGAAGGTAGAAACAAGAGGCACTTAAATCTCAAAGGTTTTTCATGAGCACTAGGAGTTTAACTACTTTATGTACTTTTGAAAGTATCTTCCAGAGATACGTCCTCCACTGTGATGGAGGGACCCAGGAGAAACCAGTCTTTAGCATGTCTCAGTGAAGAGCCCAGAGCAGGGTGGACAAATCTGGTCATAACAGGTGAGGGTGCAGCATCAATGAACACCTCGCACTGCCAAAGCATATAGCTTTTCCAAAATCCCTCTGCTTTTGCAGGGAATGGCCAGGCTCTTGCCGCTTCGACGCTATTCTACATGTCCAGCATAGCCCCCTTTTTCTATTTTTATTTTTATAATCTTTGCCTTACCAGCTTTCCCATTCCTCTTCTTATCAGTGAAACACACACGCACAAGGTAAATGGAGGACAGACAGGAAATTGGATCTGGTGACTGGGAAGAAGCAGTGGGGAGAAAAATAAATCTCTCAATATCTGAGGCCATTGTTTCAATATTCTTACAGAGTTTTCTCAGGTAACGGACTGGGGCATACGTTGCTGAGAGGGTCACACAGAGAAATGTCTGCGTCTGCACACAATTTCACCCTGACCTGGTAAATATACACTCTGTTTATTTACTCTGCAGTCTGTATCTTCTATAAGATTTCAAATGCCAATTTTACAGCACAGGAATCCCCTCCAAAGTATTCAAAAACTGGTTAAAAATAAAATTTAAAAAATATATAGATATTAAAAAATACTTCCTTGCTTCTCCGTGAAGGGAAAATTCGTTTCTGGTCTCTTTGAATCAGGAAATTCTCTCTCTCCCTGGGGTCATCCTCTGGAAAGCTCTTAGCTCTGGTGCTCTGGGGTGTCTCCTTGCAGAGCAGCATGACGTCTGTGAGCTAAAATTTCTGCAGGAATTTGAGAACCAGGTCACGCAGTTTCACCCTCAAAGGTTCATCGTTGTCGCAGATGATGTGTGTGGAGTCCTCCTCAATCTGAATGAGGGTTTCTGCCTCCTGGAGGAGTACGATGTGGCCCTTGGCTGTGTCCTCCACCTTCACGTCACTGAAACCATGCTAGATGTAGCGTTGGGGAGGGAGTAAAAGAGAGAGATGTTACTACAGCTCAGGAAAACAGGTAGAGATGAAAGCCTAGGACACAGGGGAGAGGAGAGGGGAGAATGGCTACAAAATACAGAGTGCCACTGCAGATATCCTAGATCTCTGGGATAAGCAGAGGAAACACCCATAGGATAAGCTAAGATTGACCCTCATTATAGAGATGGATAACCTATAGAACAGGGAGGCTAAAGCCAGTATTTTCCACTACACCTGGTCACTGCAGCTGCAAAATCTTGAGAGACAAAGAGGACAAATGGCTCCTTTAACTACAGAAATGACCATCTGCTGACATTACTGCCTCAAAGAAGATGATAGTGGAGAGCTACTGAACGCCACGGCAAACTTCCTCACAGACAATCCCGCCCTTTTCCCTACCCATTTTCTCCAAGGAGTCATACAAGAGAGAACAGGGCTCCACAAAGCAGTAACCAACTGCCTGCAGGTTCAGCCACCAAGCCCCCTGTCCTGCAGCTCCCCAGAAAGCTTCTCCATCAGTGGAGATGTTTCCAGGATCTCTTTTTCACTCAGTCACCCCATTTTCACAAAACTGTTAGGAACTTAAATACTTTTGAGACCTCCTCCCCACTGTTCAAATTTATTGGAAATCAGCTAATGAATCCAGAAGTTACATGGGGGAAATTCACCCACCCAGAGTGACCCCAATGGGAAACCAGGAGGAAATGACTGACATAAAGCCCCTGTATCAGGACATGACTCCACAGGGCACTATTCTCTCCATACTTAGTGCAGGGACACGCGTTCCCTGAAGTACTTTGCTAGCTCATTAGCCCCTCTCCATTTCAAGCTACACTAAAATTATTTTCCCTCTCTCTGATAGCAAAGCAGCACATTTCTGAGATTAGTAGAAACCTGCTTGAACCTCACTTGCCACCAAAGACTTATTACCTTCTCGAGCGTCTGCACAAACTGGTCCACAGGAATGGAGCCACTCAGCAATGGCTTCAAAGGTTTATACTCTGGCACGTCATCACTCACTCGCTTTCTCTTCTTGCTGGCGGGAGGTTGCGGAGGTTTTGGAGGGAGCTAATGGATAAGAAGGTGCACAGTAATGCAGTGAATCACATCAGCTTATTATAATTTAGTTGGAATAGCAAGCACATGAGATGGAAAAGGAATACTGATTTTGTTTTCTGTCACTAAAGGGGAACATTGCAGTGCCCAAGTGGAGAGGAGAAACCCAGCCTTGGGCTCCACTGCAGCTCTGCACACATAAGCCAACATTTATAGAAAAAAATTAGCAGTTTTAGTTCAAATCACCATCATCTTAAAATTTCTGTCAAATTCAGTTCTGTTCAAATTTCTGTCATCTTAAACGGCCTGTCTGACTCCATTCAAGACTGAAGCTTTCTATTTTAGCATTCAAGTACCCTGCAATATTTTCTAGGAATCACGCCTTAAAGAAGTGAATGCCTTGAAAATCACACTCTAAAAGATGCACCAGGTTGGGAAACGGCCAAATTCAGAGCAAGTAACTACTCAGTGAATGAGAAAAATGGGCAATTTATTTCTCACTGGCCTCAGAAAAGTGAGTCTTTAGGAAGAACTTGAATACAGACAAGGAGGCGTGAGAGATGCTGCAGCCTGAAAAATCACTGGAGTGTGATCTGGGTATAATTTTGTGCTGCTTCAGAAAGCTATCTGCCTTAACTCATCCCTGAGACCCTTCTCCGTTAGCAGGAGGGGGAGGCAGGGTTAGCATGTGCAGCGGTAGCTAACCTAGCACTGTGCGTTGCTGCGCGCGCGGGCAAGGCGTGAGGTTAACTGAGCACTTCTGAAAGACCCTTTCATGGAGATGAAAACCAGATTCGTATAAAAAGAACAGTGAGGAAATTATAATGTAAAATAAGTCCATGTGTCTTGTGCCAAGTTAGTTAGGTCGGGGAAGTCTCAGCACTGGTCTTTCCCAGTGAACTAGCAACTCAGTCCCTGGGAAAAAGGTGCTGGGGAAAATTTCTCCAAAATTTTGGCAAGAACATTTGCCAGGGATGCGTCTGCACAACACACAGGGAGTTTGCCTGAAGCAACCCCAGTGCCTTGTAGCATCCTGTACACTCCAGGTGACAGACTGGGCTCCTCTCAACTCCGTGTCTTTCCCATCATGTAGCATCGTGTCTGAACCTGCTGCTGTGATGTCCCTGTGTTTCTTTCAACAGCCAGGGAAGGGTGTTTTTCACCCTTGGGAGAGAAATGCCGCCTGCTCAGGCTCCAGTTCCACAAGCAGGGATGCACTTGAGTCACTTTACAAAACCCACCATTTTCCCTTTAGTTGGTGGGCCTACGTGCATGTATCATGTTATTTGTGCATGAATCACTCACGTGGTTGTGTGTTCGTAGACTGAGTTTTTGGGGCTTGTCTACACACAGCTTCTGTAACTCCCAGAGGTCCCAGGCTCAGCCAATACTGACAGATACCACTGTGCTGGCTTACCTCCATCCATTTATGAGGGCTCTGGCATTGTAAGCCTAGGTCTAAGCTTATTTGGCAGCAGGAAGCAGAGTGGAGAAGAGAGTAAATGAACAACACAAAGGAGAAAGGAGCCTCAGACCAATTGCACTGCAATACTTCAATTTTTTCCGTGTTGCCTAGTGTTTCTAGGGAACTGACTTGCAAAAAGTAAGACAGCCTGTCTACTGTGCACCAATATAAATCCTTAGCCGATCTTTATTGTCCCTGCATTAAAGACATTCCTGTACTGGGCCCTCTTCCCAAGTGTAGGGGGTCCAGCCCAGCTCTGCTGCCCAGCGGGAGAGGCAGCATCATGCAGAGTGTGGCTTTGCTGAGTTCCCTGAACGCTCATGCATCAAAGGAGAAAGGGGACTGGGGCATCCACTGCTGAGCAGGTCCACCAGACATCATCTCCTTCTGTGGAGCACTAATGCCAGGAAAGGAGGTGGTAGGAAGAGAGTGTACACTCTTACTTTGTACAAGGATGCACAATCTGCTTCTTGGAGAACGGGGCAACTTAAGGAAGACACCCCCTTCAAAAGTCCAATGTTTTAGGTCATCTCTCTCCTCTGACCCTCAGTTCTAAGTCCATGAGAGGCTGACTGATGCTGATCCTGGTGTATGGGTTATGGAAGACAGCAGTATGATTTGTAGTCTCTTTTCAGAAATAATCTTACTTCCCCTTTTATCTTAGCCAGGCACATGGCCAACGAAAAGAGGGTAGAGAGATTTATTTGCATCCCACTGTCTCCTCTAAGTGTAATTCCTCACTTGCACATGCCAGGACAAAGCATCTGACAAGGACTCTGCTCT